TGGAAAGGAGGAATTACGTTTAGTGAAATATTTGTGAAATGATTCTGGGCGTTTTCCGTGCGGTTTCCGGTTGTGGATTGACGTGGTTGGGAGTGTCTCGGTGTATATAAGTCATATAAGCCCACATTCGTGTCTTTACTACTGAAGCAACTGGTCTGTGTGCATGCATATGACTGCCGGGTTACAGCGAATACCGGTGCTCTGTTGTAGAAACACCGCTCATCCCTAGTTCCTGAAACAAGTCTGACGGTGACGACAAGGTGTGCAGCGATCACGCGTTTCCGGTGTCTACTAGTATCTACTAGTACTCTCTCACCTGAGAGTTTACCTGTTACTAGTACTTACACTATCGTTCCAGCAGTCAGTGGTGGTATTTTGAATCGCTCTCAACCCTACTTCCTTAGAAGTCCGTGGTGGGCTACGACGAAAAAAGGTGTGTTGTCTGTTGACTGTTAAACTGAGATCAAGCATTTCCGGTGAACCGTCTAGTATATCTACTATCTCAGCACCTGAGTTTACTAGTAGTACTTACAGCATCGTTCCACCAGTCTGTTTCGGCATGCGAATCGCCGCAGGCATGTCGGAGTAGCGAGCTGTCGAGCCGGTTCGCCATTGGTTTGCTACCGGGGGAGTGTGAGAGGTCGACCAGGCTTTATACAGTACTACACAGCCAGTGTGTGGATCGCGCCATACACACAACATAACACTGTGATTGAACACACGGGGAGAGCGTACGATCGAGCGAGCGACGGAACAACCATTGTAAACGCACACAACCATGGAGAGGACGTTTTCTGCTGTAAACGTTTTAATTCTGCTGCTAGTTCTGAGTTCTGAGGCGGGGAGACGAGTCCAGGGAAGATCCGAACCGCAGGTGAGTGGGGGAAACATACACATAACAATCGGGGAGGGGAGTGCGTAAGATCTGTAGACGGTGGTTTGAACTTTAGCCTCCACCAGTACTCTCCAAGCAGAGGTTGTGGGGGAATGATGTTTAGCTTTTTGTATATGGCCCTTTTTTGTCGGTACCCCCACCACCGTCGGTGGCCGGCGACCTTCTCTGGCTAATGGATGCTGCCTGGCCAATTTGATACTGTCTTTTTGCCACCGAAAGGGATCTGCTTGGAGATTATCCACCAGGGCTTTCTACGGGAATACGGACCGTAGAATTCGGCAAAAAAGAGAGTAAAATTGGCCAAGCGGGGAGGTAGTTTCTTTCCCTACGCGGCCAGTCAAACCTACAAGGCGGCCAAACTCCCCTAGCAAATATTCTCTTATGTATAGCCGGCGTAGTTAGTTTGGTAGAAGCTGTTTGAACCCTGTGAGGGTAGACTCGGCTCGACTCGGCTCGTCACACACGTTGTCTCCGTAGCAGGCTTATAGAACTGGGGGTTTGGTGGTCTTCGGCTGTTTTCTGATTAGCCCTGTTCTATTATTACGGGGGTATTTCAACCAGGCCGGCTATGTTGTCTATATGCGATCAGAAAATAGCACATAAAAGCTCCCAAAGACCCTGAAGACCCCCAGTTTTTGGCGTGCTATGGAGGCTAACACACACGTTGTTGGGTAGGTTATGAGCCAGCGTTCCGCATGGGAAACTTTTGTGTCTCGGGCTGTGCTGATATCGCCACGGGATCTCTGCTCCTATTCACCACACGTATTCAGCACGCTTAACTCACTTATAGGCACGGTATAGAAAAAAACAACCCTTATTGTGTTGGTGGTGGCACAGTACGCAGTACAATTCGTAGACTCCTTCGCAGGCTGAATAAAGTAGAAATTGTCCTGCACGGAGGCAAATTGGACCCTCGGCTAACTAACTCCCCTGGCCAGCTACAATCTTTTTAGGCTGAATAAATAGTAGAAATCGGCCTGCACGGAGGCAAATTGGACCCTCTATGGCCGGCTTACTAACTTCCCTGGCCAGCTACAGTCTTTTTAGACCGATTTCTACTATTTATACAGCCTGCAAAGGAGTCTGGTGGAGAATACATGTACACAATTCAGTCGGCCCAAATTATCTGACGAAATCCGTGCTCGCTATTACGTTGCAATGTTGAATGTTGTTTTGGTTGGTGAACATCTGTTTGTTGTGTCGGCAGAAAATTGACGTGAAATTATCAGAACCAAAACAAATATCTGACCCGGACCTCGTTAAGGGGTCTGGTGGAGACTATACGCAATTCGGTCGGCTGACGAAATCCGCGCTCGCACTGTTACATACGTTGTATTACTATTAGCCTCCGTAGCATGCCAAAACTGGGGTTTTGGGGATCTTCAGGGTCTTTGGGATCTTTTATGTGCTATTTTCTGATTGCATATAGACAACATTGTCATAGCCGGCCCGGTTGAATTACCCCCGTTCTTTGAACTGGGCCATTAAAATCAGAAAACAGCCGAAGACCACCAAACCCCCAGTTCTATAAGCCTGCTACGGAGGCTAAGAAAAACCCTCGCGAACCACAGATGTGTGTGAGTGTAGAGTTGCCCTACTTACTTCAACGAGAGTGAAGAATGCGCCGTTACTATGGCAACGCGCGAGGGACGATATAAGAACGTACGTCATCATTTGTCAGACGTCATGACATGACAGCGCCTCGAGGTCCGGGTCAGAAGATTTGTTTTCGTTCTGATAATTTCACGTCAATTTTCACCCGACACAACAAAAACAGATGTTCGCCCACCAAAACAACATTCAACACTACGTAACTAGCCTCTACCAGGCTCCGCGGATCGCTGGGGAAAAAAAGTAGAAATTAGCCGAAATAAAGACCCTGAAGACTCTCAGTTTTTGGCATGCTACGGAGGTTAACTACAGCTGTGGCGAGGAGTTTTCTTTTCTTGGCAGCGGTTCAGAAATGTCGGCCTTGGGTCGCTAAACATGGAAACGTGTTACACAACCCCTGACTCAGCTGTGGTTTAATAGCCTCGAAGCAGGCCTGCCTCGGAGGGTGTACTCAGAGATGGAGGCGGTGGTAGTCTCCACCAGACTCCTTTGCAGGCTGAATAAATAGTAGAAATCGGCCTGCTCGGAGGCAAATCTTGAAAAGCAAGGTGAAGTCTAAGGGAACGGTTAGAAGTTCCGTATGTTTTCTACTCGGTGGTTTCAGCTGAGCCTGGGTGCCAGGCTGTTCGCAGGGCCTACACAGGCTAGCTTCTTGGCTCCAGGACCAACATGCCCCCCATGAAATTATACTAAAGACCCCCTCAGTTAGCCTGGGTGCAAGACTGTTTCCAGCGCACACATAGTCCAGTTCACACAAGCCCCCAAGGAAATTTTACCACAGCCCTCCTCAGTTATTTAATATTAGACCCTGTTCGCTGGCTAACTCAGAGCCAACATGCCCTAACGATATTTCACCACAGGGTTAGGTCCATTTGCTGGCTAGCTCTCAAGGCCTAGCGTGCTTTGAGTCTGGCATCGAGGCTAGTTTCAGCCTTTACCAGACAGACGTTTGTTGGATCGCATTCCTCTCTACATGATTGGACACTGCGCGAACAATAGTCTCCCATGTCTGAACACAATATGGGTTTTGTAACTTCAATCGTGCTCGTCTCCCTAATCAGTCTGAACTAGAGCCGCTCGGCTGTCACAAAAGAATGGCTGAAAATTTAGTGGGGTCGTGTGGCGCAACGGCAGAGTGCTCGCATCGACGGAACCAAGAGGTCCCGAGTTCGAGTCCTGACATGCAACCGATCTTGTGCCCTTGGGAAAGGCACTTAACACGACTTTCCTCACTTAACTCAAGTGAAAATGAGTATTGTCTGTCCTGTATTTGTTTCTATGTGTGGGACACAGCAACAACTGCCTATGTCCCACGTGTATTGTACTGTTGCACTTTCAATAAATCAAATAAAAAAATTTACTGAGAGTAAACAGACAGTCGTAATTTGCGTAAAACTGGCTGAAGAATTATTACCAGCAATTATAGTTTTTAGTATCTAAGGCCAGCTCATAAAAGAACAATAAACAGTCATCCCCTGAAGTACAGTAGTTTATCAATCAAGGGTTGAGGCAATAAACAATCTTCTTGGTTGAGGTATTCCAAAATTCTTCCCCAAGAACTATCGTAGAGACTATACCAGGGTTTTTTTTCAAACAGGGGAATAAGGGCGCTGCTCCCTCATATCAATTTTCAGCAGATTGAAGCCCAAGTGGCTACATACACAGCATTCAGTCTTTCTCAAAAGGATCTTTTTCCAGATGTAAAAACAATTTAACAATGCATTCTAGCATTACAAACTCCCTCACCATGTTTGCAATCTGCTCCCTCATGCTAATTTTTTTAGAAAAAAAAAAACTGTATACAGCAGTATATAGTAGAGAGTAGATTAATAAAAAAAACCGTAAAATGTAAAATTTGCTCACAAATTTTACAGTTTTTCCCAGCGCCTGAAAGACTCTGTTTCAGACCAAGAGGAGGTTCTGTTACTTCTGTACAATAAGATTTAGTATCATATGACAACAAGGGGTCAGAGGTCAGGTGTTTCGAGGACAGGTTTGTAGCCAATTAAAGCCTGATTTGTTCCAATATCTCTAGGGTAGAATCAGGAATGGTGTAGCGTCTTACAGGCCTTTTGGGGCTTAAAATAGTAGAAAACGGTCAGAAAGGTGAATAATTTGGAAGAGGAGTTAGCCGTGAGGGACAAGACCTTGGGGTAGTGTGTACTACATGATAAGGTTTTTTCTTACCCTTTAGGGCCATTTTTTACATTCCCAAGATGTCATTTAGCCTAGATGTCAGAACATGAGGGCTGTGGTAAAGTTTTAGTGGGTGCATTTTGGCCCTGGAACCGATAAGCTAGCCCTTGTAGACCTTCCTGAAAACGGACAGCTAAGAAAATGTCACTCAGGATTTTGCAAGTGTATATGTATGTATTGTAACTGTTTGATGCCTGCTCATTTCCTGTGCTTAGTAGCTAATTATAACTGGTATGTATTGGAGGAAAAACATAAAGGTATTCTTTGTAATTAAAAAATGTTTCTGTTTTTCTCCACAGAATGAGAGAATACGACATTTTAGGAGCCGGATGGTCGCTGCAGGTAAGAAGAAATATCAAGTTATTTACTTATTTCTTTGTCTACCATCACTTGTTCAATAGAATAATTGGTGTCAAAGCAACCCACGCAATGTCTATAAAGTAGATTTAGTTGTTTTCAATGGACATAACCCCTATTCATATCTATTCCCTTCTTCTATTATTGGAACACAATACATCCGCTTCAAAGAGCCGGGGAGTCATACTCCCTTTCATGTATCTGCGAGATACATGAAAGAGAGTTTTGATATCAAAGGCTGTGCCATAGAAAGTGTGGTGATTATAAAACGTTTCGGTTCGGTCCCCAGTGCATGTAAAGGTAATCCCTAGTTATCACCATGGTGACATTACGTCATCAGGGAATCCCATATCGAACGTGACCTCACTCACCTTCATGACGTCACGATGACGTCAGACGTTATTCGGGAGAACCAAGAAGTCGCTAGGATGATGATTATGTCGTGTACGTAGGACGGTTGTTTTGTGTTTATTTTGAACTCCCGACACCAAAATATTATGGAAAGTGGAGAAGGTCGACGTCACGAAGGGTCATGACCTCTCGTTCACACCTGACCTCTCGCGTTATCAGGCGTGACCTTGTGATGATCCAGATCTCCTCATGCCCCCCTCCCAAAAAACAAACAAATGAAAAGTCGTAAATAATTAAATTTCTTCAGTTTATCAGTACAATTATTCATTTACAGACTTTAAAAAGGGGATGAATATCAGAATTTCTTCAGATTCAGGTCCACTAGTATATCAAAATGCCAGCTTACTCACACAGCTAGACGCTTTTGCACTGATGTCAACAAATTTCTCGGTAAAACTAAAAGTACTGGCACAGAATTTACAGACTTTGGTGGATTTACAGAAATTGATGGATATCAGGATTTTTAGCTTCAGGTTTATTTCAGAATGCTAGCTTACCCATAGGCGCTTTTGCACTGATGTCAACACATGGCTCGGCTAAAAAATACCGGCACGGAAAATCGGCCTCATTTCGCGTGTTTCTATAGGTCAAGGTCCCTCCTCGCTCCGACAGTTTCCTGCTATTTTCAGCTTATTTATCGAACCGGCAGGACTCTCTAGCCTCTTGTGCAGGCCTCCGGGCGGGTGGGAGTTTTGATACTGCGTTTTGTAGAATTTTTAACGCGTTCGTTTGCCGGCCATCCTACAACCAGCCGCCCAGAGAAGGTTTGTACCCGCTGGTTGTAGGGTGGCCGGCAAAAGAACGCGTTAACAATTCTACAAAACGCAGTATCAAAACCCCCACCCGCCCGGAGGCCTGCACAGTAGCCAGGGCTAGCCTCCATAGCAGGCCAAAAAACTGGGGGTTTGGGGGTCTTCAGGGTCTTTGGGAGCTTTTATGTGCTATTTTCTGATTGCATATAGACAACATAGCCCCGTTTTTAGAACTGGGCTAATCAGAAAACAGCCGAAGACCACCAAACCCCCAGTTCTATAAGCCTGCAAAGGAGGCTAGGCTAGAGACTCGCAGCGTGTCGCCTTCTGGCGGAACTATCGACACATAAACTGGGTTAGACACCGGGGAAACATGGACTTGTACTTCACGGGGGGTTCCATCAACATCCGTGTGAATTCTTGAATTGAAGAATTTCCTGTCTAATGTCTTCGCCAAGCGTCCCTTGCCAGCTACTAAGCCTCTACAGGCTAACTACAGTGGCTATCGTTTGAATCATTTGTTAGGAGGGCATTTGCTCGCACAGTTCTAACTAAAGAGGAAATGATACCCTTAATTATTTAGTTAATATTCAGTGCTCACTATCTGGACATTCAAACTGTTTTTGCTGAAATCAACTATCCATAAGTCGTTAGGAAAGCAGCTACTTCTTGTTTTATTACCAGCCATTTCTCTAGTATTTTTCACGATTCCTAAGGTTATATATAGCGGCTGAAAAATAGTAGAAATTGACAACATAACCTCCTTGATAGCATGAATGATTGCCAGGAGACCATAGACGGTCGAAAGTTTGCCGCTACTTGACTCTGGTACTACAGGCATGTGTGGCTATGACTCAGGGGTAAGTTTGCGTGGTAGAAATGATACGGGCGAGGGGAAGTTTTTGTTGGAGTTTGTTCAAGTCAAGTCAAGTGCAAGTCTCGGTTTAAAGAGGCGGCCCCCTGCGGTTTCATGGTTCGTGTTTTACACAATGTAGGAGGAAACCGCTTCTACCGGAGAAGTACTAAGAAGTTTTAAACTTTAAGAACCTCCTTGGAAATACTAAGAACACACGAGATCTGAGCTGTGAATTCAATTTAGGTTAGTTAGTTTTGTTTATAGTACGGAATATAAGGAGCCCCATACAATCATAACATTATATTATACAATTTGTGGGCCATGCTAGGGAATAGCTAAATTCATCATCATCATCATGTCGGGAGTACATGTAGTTAAATTCAAGGGATTACATAGCAAGAAACAACAACAGACAAGCCTGTACAAGTGACTACCTCTACTCAAGCGAGGACCACCTAGCCCCCTTATATGTTTTTTCACACACGAATTAAGAATACTGTCTCTAGTGGCCACCTGTCCCCTTAGTGGTCTTCTTGGGCAGTTGGCTGTACAGTCCACTTTGCCTTGTTTATTTGAAATTCCCTGTTTTCCCATTCAAAACAAACACCATTACGAGAAGGATACCTGTGGACAAAGTAGAGAATTTGGATTTTCCTGTTTGATACAGCCCGTCGGCTCGCGATGATTCCCAAACTATGACAGGTATGGCGCTTATCTTGATGCCTCATCTGAGATTTCCTGTGGCGATCTGTTACTAACATCTCAGGCATGGCGGGCGTTCCCCAAGGATTTGTTTTCTAATACCAACATTTCATGACTAGACATGGTGACGGCACACTCAAGTTATATATCAACTTATTTTATGCCGTAACCAACGCAAATAGAGGACAGATACGGAACAGGACAACACTCATTTTCACCTGAGATAAGTGACGTCAGGACTCGAACCCGGGACCTCTTGGTTCCGAGTCGAGCACTCTGTCGCTACGCCACACGACGCTAAGACATCCCGGAGGATTAAAACTTGTCCCCAAGTTACCGGGTCACTGAGTCGCTGTCATCGTAATCATGTTTATACCTCCAAGCGGGAGGGCAGTTACAGAACTTTTGAAGGAAAGAAAAAGAAAACTTTATTGCACGACAATTGCACAAGGTATATCGTATGTCATCTACTACTATATAACAACAAACATACTATGAGACTAAACTAACCTTACAAAGACTATGTAATATGGGATGAGAATGTGTTTGTACAAACATTGGTGGATTACCTAGCTATGTAGCGTTCAGGCATTTTTGAAATACCCCATTAGAACCCGAGTGTTCTTTCGATCGAATCCGGTGTTCTTTCGATCGAACCGTGTGTTCTTTCGATCGAACCGAGTGTTCTTTTCGAACGAACCGAGCGTTCTTTTCGAATGACAGTCCTGTTCGAATCGAGTGTTCTTTCGAATACGTGCGGGACCATTTGCGACAGTCCCTATGAGCATCTGCTTGGAGAAATGTGTGCGATCTTTGATAGGACTTGGAAGGGTGCCACCAGTGGCGGTGAAGGCTTCGCTATTGAAAATGTAAATCTCCTGTTTTTCTACTTCTTTCTTCCGCCATTGTGCCTTCAAAGCCGCACAGAAGCTAAGCCGGCTCAGAAATTGTTTAGACTTACGAGGGTGGATCAAAAAGTTCTCGGCCTCACCTAGAAAACGTCGTGGCAGAAAAAAATTTCTTACACTATGTTTCAACATAGTCCACTCTAACTGCAATGCACTTGGTCCAGTGATGTTCCGGGTTTGTTTTCCCCTTGTGGAAGAAGGTTGAATCTGGAGCCCCCAGATAGGGCTCACCCGCACTTATGACGTCATCATTACCATAAAAACGTTGACCACGTAAGTGGAACTTCAGTTTAGGAAATAGGTAGAAGTCCGAGGGTGCTAGGTCAGGTGAATTGGAAGGGTGGGGTTAGACTTCAAAGCCAAATTCGTTTCCTGCTGTCACTGACCCCTGTGCTGTGTGGACAGGTGCATTGTCATCACGCCAGCTCGGTGCTTTCCTCTCCTTTTCTCTTTGATCGTTGTCCTCAACTGTTGCTATTCTGTTAAATAGTACTCCCCATTGATGTTTTAACCTATTCACAGGTATTCAGTCATGATTACTCCCTTGCTGTCCCAGAAAACAGAGACGAAACCCCTGTCAACGGATGAAACTCGATAAAACTTCTTGGGGGCCGGGAAACATTCTTCATTCATTGTTTGTTCTGTTGTTTTGATTTGGGGTGAAAGTGGTGAAACCATGTCTCATCTTGGGTGAAAAATGTTTTGAGGTAATTGCATGGATTGGACTGAATTCGTTCCTTGAAATGTCCAGCTTGTTTAACTTCTGATGTTCAGAAAACATTCTAGGCACCCACCTTACAGACAGGTTGCTCATCCCCAGGATGTCTGACAAAACATTGTGAACAGAGCCACAACACAGGCTAAAGACTCTGCTACATGTTGGACAGTCTCACATCTGTCATTTACTACCATGTGATGGATGGCCTCAACTGGATTGTCCATGGTGCTGATTTGTGGCATCCTGACATATGTTCATCTTTGGTGCTCACCTTGCAGCGATTGTAGCTAGCAACCCACTTCTTTATAGTTGAATAAGAAGGAGAGCCATCACCAAGTGTCCTGACCATGTGTTCATGGATTTCCTTACGAGAAATCCCTTTTTATCGATATACATGATCACAGCACACGCGTCTGTTGCGGCCATTTTGTGATTTTGCCCTCACCCGCCCCATTTTCACGGGGCGTCACGTGCTAACTAATGAATATAGAAATTTGAATTTTTGTGTGCAGTGATGTAAGACATCATAGTATACAGTTATACTAAAGAATAGGAGTTTGCCCTTTATTTTCTAGGTGAGGCCGAGAACTTTTTGATCCACCCTCGTAAATCTTCCTCTGTCTGTATTCAGTTTGCCT